AAGCAAATAAAAACAAACGCAATAGTTCGCTATGAGAGAAATGGCGCCGGTGAGACGCACGTCGAAGAAGAACGGAATGAGGTAGAAACAAAATCTTTTTTCCTGATGAAAGAAGAGAGTCTACTCTTTCTTTTGGTGTGTTCGGTGTTTACATAGTCATAGCACAAACTATTCTGTGGCTCTTCAAAAATCAGTCAAAATGCTCAAAAAACTCTGGCAGTATGGGACTCTCTGTTCTGAAAATGGCTGGCAGTCAGTGAGTTAATGGCCTTGCGCATTTGTATATAAGTGAAATTCTGAGGTGCCCAGCAGATCACTTCGGTCTGCTGGTCAGCAGTGGGGTGACCGCTCTTTTTTTTGGCAGGACCTAAACTGTGGAACTCTCTGCCCACTGAGTTACGTTCATTTACTGACCTGCCACTGTTCAAAGCTCAACTTAAAACGTATTTGTTCAGGATGGCTTTTTGCACATAAAATTTCTGTATACTGGGTTCTGTCACCAATGTGTTTGTCTTTGTATATTTCGATAGTTTGATCTGTTTTTATTCTGTAAAACACTTCGGTTGTTGTAAAGTGCTATATAGTAGGGTTGTCAAAAGTATCCATTCTCAAAAAAGTATCGATACTAAAATGTTGTATCCGGATACGATCCTCATTTAAGGTTAAAAATTGTAGTTTGAGTTTTTTAATGCCCCTCGTGTCCGCACCTGTTCGCTGGAGGCGGAGCCGGTGGCCAGCGTGAGCACGGCTCCACAGCCCTCCTGGAAGGAAGTGGCCAGGAATCGCGCCACGCCGGGGGGCACGCCGCACTCCTCCGAGTCCTCCTCCCTTAACTGGGCAAAGAGCAGCTCCAGGAGAGTCACCCTGAAAGCACACAGAGGGATAATGAGGCGGGTTTCTAACGAAAGGCCTGATAAATCCAGACTGTTTAATGTGTCGTTCCAAGATGGAGGAACCACCTACCAAGCTACAAGAACAACTCTTGAAGACCCCCCTCTTCAAAGAGCATCTCCTATCCTAACCCTAACCCGTACCTCTACCCCCCACAGCTCCTATCCTAACCCTAACCCGTACCTCTACCCCCCACAGCTCCTATCCTAACCCTAACCCGTACCTCTACCCCCCACAGCTCCTTCTGTAGTCCCTCTACCTCTATCTCTATCTCACCACTGACTCTGATCAGAGTTTCTCCTCTGTATAGCTTATTGTCATAGTGATGATAAATGTAATATAGTGTCTACTCTGTAAGTCGCTTTGGATAAAAGCGTCTGCCAAATGCATAAACATAAACATAAACATAAATCAGCGTCTGGGGAGGAGAGACCAGCTCACCTCTCATGGTGGGACATCCCGGAGTACATGTTCTCCACCAGGGCCACGGACCGGAGGAAATGCTGGGTGGCGATCAGAACCCTGAAATGAGTCCAGAACCAGAGACCACAGAAACAGAGAGAATGATTCCTCCCCCAAAACTGTCATTTCAATTCAGAGGGAAAGAAAAATCCCATCCACAAACTGAAAATCTCTTTCTTTTGGCTTCCAAACGTCTCCAAATGTATCCAAAATAAACTTTCCTGTCATCACTTTAGCTGCTAAACAGATGAGAGTTTAACCCTATAATGCCAAATGTGTCATATTTGATACGTACGGTTTCTGAAATGTTTTGCTTCTGACACCTTTTGCATAATTTAATGGTAAAAACTTTGCTCAAAATCCTATTGTACACAATCAGATACACCTGATAACAGGGGGCAGAAGACCAC